AAGCTCCTGCATCATTCGCTTTAGGTAGAGATAAAACAAGGGCAAAATCTCACTGGAACCACTAACAGCAGGTAGTCGAATGGAATTGTGGGTAATGTATGAAACCATTAACCAAACTCAAGACAGATTGTATCGACGAAAGAAGTTTAAACTAAAAAAGTCAACTCAGAATTTAATTACAAAATAAATCTTGGATGGCATTGAAGATTACATGTTAATTATAAATATTAATATGCAGAGTGAATTTTTCCTGTTGTTTTTATTGTGGATTAGTATTATTTATGCAAGTTATAGTTTATCATTGGTAGTCTGAATGGCTGTTTTGTGGCTAGTGTGTGTAATACTTATGAGTACTAGCAATGACAGAAACCTCCAGCGATCTCTCCCCATGTAGCTCTCTGGTAGCCCATGTCCACTGCTTAATCTGGAACCAATCCACGCATTTGTACCACAAAGGAGATGGTTCTTGGCTGGTAAAGCCAATTTGGCTCCAGCACCAAAATTCTGCTGGTCTGAAGCCAATAACTGATGACGTCAAGGTCTTGGGGGACGTCATTTTGTTACCATGACAAAAGCTTAAGTAACTTACGGAAAATGCCGGAATTTAAATACCAATGAATAGTGCAGGGTGGATGAAAGGTATTGTTAAGAAAACATATAGACTAATGTTGCTGTGATAACCATTTTAGTGGCAATTTAAGTAAGGAATAAAACATGACAGGCATGCAGTTACAGGAAAATAATCAATGATGAGGTGGTGTGATGTAATCCAACACAAATCATTTATTATTTTTCAATAACAGCATGTCCTGAGGTGTTTTATTTATCTTATACCACAGCAATTTGCCCATAATTGCATTTGTTTTATTAATTTAACAAAAAATGCTGTACTTTTTTCTATCCATTTAAAGTTACATTTAATGTTAGTTCCTGTTATCACATACGTTATAGTAGCTATATACAGTCCTTCACCTCTCTCTCTCTCTCTCTCTCTCTCTCGAATTTAAAAGACAAAAAATATAGCTTGTCATGTTAATGAGAAACTGCAAAACCCTCCATCCTGAAGACATCCTCAAGACTCCATCCTGAAAACCTCAAGTTTTGCCTCTGACTTTTACAAAGCGCTGACACTGGAGACTCCTTCCAGAAAAGCTAAATAAACATCTCCTAAGAGAAAACTTCATAACAACAAATACACACATTGTGTGGCACAATTCCCTGTGTAAGTTGTTACTATAGTAACAGTAACTTATTAGAACAAGCACATTTATTTAAACCTTGCAGCCAGAACTATTGTCAGAGCTGCTATTATAGAAAATCAGACCAATCAGAGTTGATGATTCAGCAGCGCTGTGGTATAAATTAACTTTATGCTACGTGGCTCAGAATAAAATAGGAATAAATGGGTGGTAAAAGATGTTCCCAAAACCAGAAGTATGACCTGTAAAACCCTGCATAGTAGGTAATATTAGGAAACGTCCACATTTGTACTGGTTTGGCTCTTAAACTCGTGAAAAGGCAGGTCGCTTCTTAAAAAGGTCTGCTGGTTCACTGAAACAGCATCAGCACTGTGTTGGTGCTGTCAGATGGTGTAAATCTCACAGCACCTGTATCACTGTAGACTTCTTTAACCAAATGTATATAAAGGAAGGTGACAGTGTTACCGAAGATAAAATGCACGGTTTGGGTCACCTTTTGCAGTGAATGAGCTTGGAGTTGGAGATACAGTGAAGAGAGGCATGTTATCCACAGTAGGCTGGCTGCCTTGTGTTTGTTTGAGCTCTAAATCACTTCATGCTGATTGGCATAGCTTCGAGACGGCCATTAGTGCTACTCAGGAAAAACATGCTCAGAAATTTTAGCCTTTATAGAGCATTTGCGTGTCAGAAAGAGTAGAAGCACTGCTGTCGCACACACACACACGCACACATGCGCACACACACAGATATTCTTACTTGCTTATACATAATGATCATGTGGGTGTTTATATGCAAGCACAGGTATTTTGGGACTATGGATGTTTGTTTATGTGTGTGTGCAGGAAAGCATGTGTGTTTGTGTGTGTGTGTGTGTGTGTGTGTGTGTGTGTGTGTGTGCATGGGTGGGTGGTCAAACAAGATGTCTCAGAGATCACTACTGCCATTTGCTGGTTTTTGATGGCTCGTGTTTGTTCTTGCAGCTCTGTAAGTGTGTGTGTGTGTGTGTGTGTGTACACGATGTAATTAAGCTAAGGTTCATCCAGCGTTAGAGGGTCATTCTAAGTAAATTTCATGAAGAGATTTAGTTAGGAGCATATCTATATTTCCAGGCTCCTACAATCCCAGGATTTTATGTTCTGAATGTTCCCTGGGTTCTCAGTGAGCTGTGTTCACAGGATTCTAATGGAATTAAGTTCCCAGAGTTCAGAAGATAGCTCAGAGAACTATCTTCCCAGGGATTTGTGTTTTCGAGTCCCCCATGTTTCCAGAGTCTTGCATTCTTAAGGTCCTGTATTCCTAAGGTTCTATGTTCCCAGTGTCATATGTCGTCAGAGCGCTTTGTTTTCAGGGTTCTATGTTTTTAGTGCCTGATATTCTCAGGGCCATGCTATCTCAGGATCCTATATTCTCAGAGTTCCTTGTTTCCAGGGTTATCAGATAAAGCAATGATCAGACTGAACGCAAATATTATTCACCAGTTGAAGGGTAAATTGTGAGAGAGGAAAAAACACGCATTTGCATCTAGTAGCTGTTACTTTGGCTTTGTAATGACTTTATCTAGTATATGATCTGTGAGCTGTGAATTTGTAAACCTCAGTGTTGTGAGCCAATAAAAAAACAAAACAAAAAAAAAAACAAAGGCAGCTTATGGTCCCCTTGGTTGGTAAGAAAAATGGAGACCCCATGGAGCAATCACATCAAACTGTTGCCTTGCCTTTTTTTTTTTTTTTTTTTTTCGCTGTTGCTTGAGGCACACCTGGAAAAAAAAGACATTACTCCTAATTTCTCTCCCATCAGTACTAACATACTGTTCTTGCCTGTATCACACAATCAGTTAGTCTACATGCTATCAAAAAGTCTGGCTGAATCAGAGTGATGGGGAAAAAAAGAAAAACCAAAAAGATAATATTCTTTTGGAATATGCTTTTTTATATTTTATATATATATATATATATATATATATATATATATATATATATATATATATGTATATATATGTATGTGTGTGTGTGTGTGTATGTATGTATGTATTTGTTTTCATAAAAACAAGTATTTTTCATTTATATGTATATTAAGAGACATTGCTTGATTTTAAAAGCGTGAGGATGTGCTGTGCATTGCCATTTAATATTTTCTTTCAGCAAAGCAAACCTCGACTTAGATTCAGCAGGTTCTACAGCGAAACATTTTACTGAAAGTTTAACTCAAGCATATGATTAACTGCTTTTCCTGTGTACTGACTCATTAAGCTTGTGACACTGAATTCGCTTCTTTGCGATTGCCACCACAAATGAACCTTTTAATTTTGGTGTAGTCTAATTTTGAATGAGCACAGTAAAACATTGGCATTCAAAGCAGATACTAAACACACAAAACACTCTAACTTCATGAATTGAGGCTGTTAAATGGTACATACACATTATATGCCATGAGTGTCTCCCCCTGGTCCCTGTACATTAACTCGCTGCTTGAGATGCACTATTTTTAGCTTCATAATAATGCAGTTTGGGGTTATACAGTATGGAGCTATAACTATAACTGGTATAACTAAGATTTTTGTGTATTTTTTGGAAATTAACTTTCCTCTCCAGTCCTGACTGGTCACAATAAAGCGGCTCTCACATGTGATTTTCAAACATAATATATGAAACCATGTTTGTCTAATTTAGTTACTGATATTTTTTTATTTAACATTTCCCCAAGAAGAGAATGCTCGAACAATCTGAATTTTGAGGGTCCAATCACTTCAACCTATATGTGTGTGTCATTATTTTTTGGCCAGTGTATCACCAGGGTATCGAGAATTGCATACTACCTCTGGTCAAAAACATCAAGGTCATCAGGATTAGTGATCTAATCACAATAGAATTATTATAGAATGAAATGCTCAAATACTGATGCATTATCAAAGCTGGTGACTTATTTACTGAAAATATGAAATAAAAAATAATGTATGTTCATAAAATGGGAGAAGATTGGATTGTGACGTGACTGAAACATTGCCATTGTAGCTGCATATTAAATGGGTTGCTTTAATGTAGAGTTTAGCTGTTATACTATAAAGCCTTAGTCAAAAGGAACCACATAGTAGCAGTAGCAGAAAACCTTATAGCTATGGTCCTGCGAGACCTCCAGATCCAGACAGATAAACCAATAATACAGACAAAATAATAGATAAGCATCAGAAAACAGCGTGTGCTGGGCTCATAGATGTGTGAATCCTGAGTGACGATAACAATCAAAGGAAGGAATACAAAAAGCTAGAAGAGCAACAAAAAAAAGGGGGGGGGGGGGGGCTACAAAGAGGAACTAGAGAGAATAAAGAAGTTTAAAGCTCAGGTTTGTTACTCCCAAGCTGAAAGAGGGGCTTCAATAGATTCCAGGAATGGAAACATCCCAGAAGACCTCTGGTAGGAGTAGGAGACATGATAGTAATGGAAGACATAACCAGTTGGGAGGGTGTGTGTATATATATATATATATATAGCGCACATCACTATGTAGACCACTTAAACACCATGACAAACATCACTGTCCCAGATTATGCTATGTAGGCCACATGCCATCAGACTACTGTTTCCCAAACTACAAAACCTATTCACAATGTAGGCTGTATAAACACCACATATAGGCTATATGCCATTTACTATATACTGTATACCGCCACAAATCAGTCTACTGTGGACGTGTGCAAAAAGTCTCCATACATAGCGGAAATTAACACTTTTGCAAAGTGTCTTCCAAAATTTTTCGTACTTAGTTTATATTTTATCCTGATAGCCTTTAAGAATGCCTTTGAGTTCCCTGGTGGTCTAGTGGCTAAGGATCCTATGATCTCACCACTGCAGCCTGGGTTCGGTTCCCGGGCAGGGAACCAACCCAGCTACTGGGAGTGTACTCTCAGTGCTGGTCCCAAGCCTAGATAAAATGGGAGGGCTGCATCAGGAAGGGCATCTGGTGTAAAACCTGTGCCAAATCAATCATGCGGACCAATGATCCGCTGTGGCAACGCCTAATGGGAGCAGCTGAAAGAGCAATAACAATTTCAAGAATGCCTTTGACAAAAGAAGAATGTATTGAAATCATTCTCGTGGCTGGACCGGGAAGCTGTTGCAAGGTTGTGATGGACTTTAACAGGAAACATGGCAAGCACATCGCACAAACCTATTAACAAAAAGACTGGAAGTGTTGCGGACCAACCGAGAAGTGGATGTCCATGAACATCTACTGAGAAAGGTACAGTCGACCTAGTGCTGGCATACATAGTGCCGTACGTATGGAGACTTTTGGGACATGCTGTATATGCACTATAATGGCTACGTTAACTTCATCATGAATTCATCCACTACTCTATTTATTAGGTAGGTCACATAAACATCACAAACATGCCATCATCATCATCATCATGATCATCATCAATTCACTTTTGAATAGGTCTGAAATCGTATTCCTGTCAAACATATTCACTATATAGGACACGCAAACAGTCCGATTTAAATATGTCCTAAACCACACACAGTATAGACCACATGAACACCATCACAAATGTTACACCATTAGCACTGCAATGTGCACAGTGTACATGTCCCTAACTACACCCTGTATTCAATATATAATCTAAGTGATGACATTACCATTACCATTCTCATTGCAATGGCTACATAAACATTTTCACAAATGAGTCTCGTTCTGAACTACATCCCGTATTCATATGTATATAGAAGGCACTTTATGCATTATCACTTACTTATGTTACATTCATTCTAACTAACAATGTAACTATGAAAATGACAACATACAATTTTTTCCACCTGCATTTTGTTCTTAGTTTACTAGTTTAATATTGGGTGATATTGTGTAAACTGAGAGCAAAAGCTCCCACAACCCTCAACTGCTCAGCTCCGTGCTTAGATTGGATTCTGCCTCACTTGTAAATCAGTTTCAATAAAAGCATCTGCCAAATGAAGTAATGTAAATGCAAATATTTGTCAGAAACAGCTTCAGATGTGATAATATACATAATAAAAAAAACATAATCTTAGAGAATCATCTTCCAGTCACACCAATACGGAAGGATTTTATGTTTTGAGTTCTACGTGCAGCAGTTTAAGCAACAAAAACCCTTCAGCACAGAACTGCACAATGTATTATCTTCATGGTGTAGTGAAAAAGGGAACATTTTATACATAGATACCCTAAATATTCACAATTCCCTAAAAGAGCTTATGCTCAAGTCTCACCCTTGTTTCAGTGGATAATCTCACCTGGATGCTGTACCTAAAAACTGCTGCTGTAATCATAAAGAGTGCCCCATGCTCCTCCCAGGACTCTTCTTCACAATATTCTCATACTGAACATCTTTTTAAACAAAGTTACTACTGTTTGTCTTTATTTTACTCCACCTGTGTATTGTAATCTGGTGTCACCCTTTTGAGTCTGGTTCCTTCCAAAGGTTCTTCCTCATGTCAGAGATTTTCCTGTTGCCTTTGGCATGCTCAGTAGGGATCCAAATCTACATCCGGATTTCAGTAAAGCTACATCCGGACAAATCTACACCCGGATTTCTGACAATGTCTACTGTTAAAAGATAAATAAAACTGAATTGAATATACTGTACATGCTTGTGATGCATGTCACTTAGCTAGGTGATTTTGATAAACATTTTGCTAGCTCTTAAAAATCATATCAGCGCAATTTCTTATTACTAGTAGGTATGTGATAATAATGGAGAATATCAAAAAAATAACTTCACTACTCCACTGCAGTATTTCCGGGCGGCATTTCTGGGCAGATTTTGTGAGAGGGAAAAAATCCAATTCATTAGGCTACATAGGGACAGATGTTTTCTGGAGTTGCTCATTTCAGACATCCAAGATATCCTTCTTGGATAGTCAATCCCATAATTCTGTTCACTGAACAAGAGATCCATGGAGGACAGACCTGATTGCTAACAGTATAGCATGGTAAATATTTTTAAATTGCAATATTGTGATCATATCTACAAGGCTAGTCAAATGGGCACACACCTAACTACCACGCACGCACACACACACACACACACACCAAAATGCCTTACAGCATTTTTAGCAGTGCTTAAAATATCAGAGAGGAGCCAAAATCGAGTTGTGGCTTGGGGAAACCGGTTATGTCTGCAGCGTTTGATGTTTTATTTATAACAGAATGGAAGTAGCAGATTAGCATTAAAATGTCTTGGTAACTGCAGACTATAACGACAAACTCCAAAGATTAAAGGAAAACTGCACCCTGACACACATTACAATTGTTGGTAATGAAATATTTGTGATGTTGCTTAGCGATTTGTTGGTTGCATTGCAAAAAAAACACATCTTAGCAAGTAAAAGTATGTTGAATATAGTCAAATATATCTAGTATTTCCGATTATAAGATTACAATAAACCAAATATAAGATTATTACACCTAATTCTAGACTTTCATAGTTGAAATAGTCTTGTTCTATTGGCAGATAATTTTGTTTCTTTTAGGCATTTATTTCTAGAAAGAAGCTAAATTATCTGCCTAAAGAATATAAAAATTTTAAGCAAATTTAAGCTTGAAAATAGTAAAAATGACTGGAAATATGTTTAATAATCTTATATTTTTTAATTGCAGTCTATATTTTTATTGTAATCTTATAATAGGAAATACTAGATAAATTTGAATATATACACAAGATGGCATTTTTTTGCAGTGTGCTGCTGTATTTTTATTATTCCTTTAAGAACTTAGTGGTTGTCTGTCATGCTGAAGTAGCACAGTGAAAATAGCTTTAAAAAAAATCACAATATTAAACATAAAGGATAACGGCCAGGTTTCACTGTTAGCTCCTAAAAAATAAAAGAGCAAAAGCTTCTTTTCTCATTCTCCATTTTGCAGCAGTGTATAATGTCATATTAATGAGAACTCTAATGTAGAAGTATTTGAGTAGATGCTGAACTTAAAGTTTCAGAATGCAATGCAGCTAAAACCCCACAAAAAACTGACATCTTAGCAAGTGAAAATATGTTGAATATAGTCATATTTATCTAGTACTTTCTATTATACGATTACAATAAACCAAATATAAGCTTATTAAATCTATTTCTAGACATTTTTACTAATTTCAAGCTTTACATTTTCTTATTGGCAGATAACTTTGCTTCTTTCTAGAAATAAATACTTAAAATTACACAGAATTTACTGCCAATAGATCAAGACAAGCTTGATATTAGTAAAAAAAAAAAAAAAAAGTCAAGACATAGGTCAATAATCTTATATTTGGTTTCTTGTAAATTTGTAATAAGCAATACTAGATAAATGTGACTACATTCAAAATATTTTAGCTTGGTAAGATCATTTTTGCAGTGTATGATGCAGCTGCACTGAGTTACAGCAAAGACTCAGCTTGGCTGGATAGCGATCTACAAGATGATAAGCATGATGGCAATGATGCCAGTATTAGCATGAAAGTTGAAGCTTAGGAACTTGATCTGTTTGAGCAGAGTGTACAGATGAGGAGGTAAGAGCTGGACAGACTAATGGACTAAAGAGCTGCTGCAGTGCTCGCTTTAGGTAGAGATGAAGCAACGGCTAAATCCGACTAGCACCACTATCCGCAGGTAGTCAAATGTTACTGTGGGAAATGTATAAAACCATTAACCAAACTCAAAATAGATTGTGTTGACGAAAGAAGTTTAAACTAAAAAAGTCAACTCAGAATTTAATTACAAAATAAATCTTGGATGGCATTGAAGATTCCATGTTAATTATAAATATTAATATGCAGAGTGAATTTTTCCTGTTGTTTTTATTGTGGATTAGTATTATTTATGCAAGTTATAGTTTATCATTGGTAGTCTGAATGGCTGTTTTGTGGCTAGTGTGTGTAACACTTATGAGTACTAGCAATGACAGCAACCTCCAGCAATGTCTCCCCATGTAGCTCTCTGGTAGCCCATGTCCACTGCTTAATCTGGAACCAATCCACGCATTTATACCACAAAGGAGATGGTTCTTGGCTGGTAAAGCCAGTTTGGCTCCAGCACCAAAATTCTGCTGGGTTGAAACCAATAACTGATGATGTCAAGGTCTTGGGGGACGTCATTTTGTTACCATGACAACAGCTTAAGTAACTTACAGAAAGTGCTAAGTCAGGCAACAGCTAAGTTGAAATAGATTGTGTTGATGAAAGAAAATAGACCAACATGTCAGTGAACATTTAAACTACATAAAGTCGACTCAGAATTTCATTATAAAATAAATCTTAGATGGCACTGATGATCACATGTTAATTATAAAGATTATTATGCAAGTAATTCAGGTTGGATTTTTCTTTTATGTTCATGATTCAAACATTTATGTTCAGTAACTCCTGGTCAGGGTCATTGTGGATCCTGAGCCTATCATGGGAAAACTTGGGAAAACACCCAGAATGGGACATATGTCAATATATATTATGTATTTCATGGTGGTGTTTTCCTTTAAACATATGAGTTAAGATTAATTTAGATTGGTAGCACACTACTGATGAAGGGGAAAAATAGCAAAGCTAAAGTTCCCATCAAGGTTCTACATGCTGTAACTTGTAGCCATTCATTTGACCCCAGTTAACATACTTTTAGTACACACTTGTGTCGCGTACGTCACTCCCACACCTGCATGTTAAAACCACTTTACAAATATGAAATGAGAATATCATTCTCAATGTTGTACATGTTTCTCAGTTTGGAATTGTCTGTAGTGCTAGAGTAAAAAAAAAATGACCTTTTACACATTTTTTAAATTTTAGATCATTTTTTCCAAACTTTTGAAGAATATTTATATAGTCATGGGAAAAAGAAAGTACACCCTCCTTCCATTCTATGTATGTATTTATAT